TAATATTAATATTAATATTAATATTAATAATAATATTAATATTAATAATAATAATAATAAATAATATTAATAATAATAATAAGCATTTATTCATGCCAGCCTTTACAGGATATGAAACGTCAGTAGGAACACAGTAGAATAAAAATTGAAATACAATATAAAAAGTTTGTTTTAACGATTGTCATAATTGTAAAATTCCTGCAAACTATAAAAACAGTTCTGTAAGAGGAATGAGCAAAGCTATCCTTACGAAATTTATTAATGTTTCCTTCTTCTCATATCAGTGTCGGTTAATTATTAAATATCTCCACAGAGATAGAAAGGCCCTTTCTTATACATAGTTAAATTAAATTTATTTATCAGTACGTTGTATTTCCCTCTTATATTATGATTATGAACATTGTCATGCCTGGGAAACAATTCACCATTCATTTTGATAAAAACACTTGCCTCATATATGACGCATGGAAGTGATAAAATTTTATCTCTTATCAGTGTGGGGCAACATAACTCCAAGGGTTTCAAAGAAAATATTAACCGAATGATTTTTTTTTGGTATATAAATACTCTTTGAAAGTCACAACTATATCCCCAGTAAATTATTAAATATTTCATATGAGAGTAAGCCAGTGCAAAATATATATTTAGTAAATATTGTCTATTCATACAACTCTTCAGATTTCTTATGGCAAAAAAGGTTGATTTCATTTTGTTTAATATATGGTTAATATGGTTGCTCCAGTTAAGATGTTCATCTATATATAATCCTAAGAATTTAGTAGTGTCAACATTATCAACAAAGTTATTCATTTTTCCTAAAATGTTTGGATTTTCGCGCCTTTTGTGAAAAAATATGTATCTAGTTTTGGTGGAGTTAATAATAACTATAAGCTTATTATTAGACCACCATCCATAAAATTGTAGAAGAGTCAAACTTACTTTCTTTTGCAGTTCATCAGGTGATGAAGCAGTAATGCAGATTGTTATATCATCCGCATATAATACAACGTTGACATTCTCTGTGAAAGACTGATCAATGTCATTAACAAACAAAATAAAAAGTAATGGAGCTAAGACACTCCCTTGTGGAACTCCTAGGTTAATTAGTTCTAGATTTGAAAAATGATAGTTTATTTTTACTACGATTTTTCGGTCTGACAGAAAGGAGTAGATCCAATCGTTTATCGATTGCCTTGTACCCAAATTAATTAACTTTCTTATTTAAAAAATCCTTGCTGACACAATCAAAAGCTTTTGTGAGGTCGAAAAAAGAGTTATCATATATAGGTTTTTATCCACTGAATCGTAAATGTGGTTTATTAATGAAAATGCGGCCGTGTTTGTTAAATATTTAGGTCGAAAACCGTGTTGATTGCTATTTAAAAGACATTTTTTATTGATAAAATTATAAATCCAACTATGTACTATTTTCTCAAAAAGTTTTGAGAAACAGGATAATAAAGTTTTCAATAAGATCGGCTTCTTCGTTTTTGTAAAGTGGTATTATGTTTGAGATTTTAAGAGCATCTGGAAAAATTCCAGACCGAATTGACAAATTAAATACAAAACATAAAGGGTGTACTATATATTGAGAAATATACAGGGTGATTCAGTCATAATGTCATTAATTTTAAGAGCAGATAGAGAAAAATGAGTATAATACGATGGCGTGATTAAAAAAAAATTTAAATGCATATTTAAGCTGAAAAAAAATATTTTCAAATCATTATTTAACCCCCTTTTCAGGCTGTTACTGACCGGCTGACGTCACAATATTATGCACGGCTACGATATGAACCTATGAACAACGCGCCCTAGATGCAACGTTGCCATATTTATATATTTTCGCTCATATAAAGACAATAAATAAACGGTTTTGCTCACGTCAACCAATAATAATTTAAAATGCTATAAATTATTTTTTATTTATGCAATCAACATATTAAATTGTTATTGTTGCCCAGCAAGAACCTCGAGGTCTGAGCATGCCTTGCCAAAAATCAGTTTTTATTAGCATCATAATTTTAATATTTTAACAACATTTGCTGTAAGCCCGAAGGGGAAGGTTTTCAAACAATTCTACTAAAAATTAGTAACGCGGCCCATTCAGATGTTCAGGTAGAAAATGCGGCCCAATTAAACGATCGCCATTGACATTGACACCGAATCTCCTCTGAAAGCTATACCACCGACGAGTAGTGTGCGGGTAGTAGTGTGTTTCATCTGACCAAATGTGACTATTATGGCTGCAAAGAAATTAGCTGTTTCACTTTAAATAAGATTTAATATTGAAGTTACAAAACCCCAAAAGTTCAAATAATTTAAATTTCATTTCATAACCATTTCAATTTCGTTACAGAAATAATGTCATAAAAAACCAACACTCACTAGATAAATTATAAAGAGAGGATAAATTGTATGCAGTATTTAAATATTGACTGCAATTAGAAGAGAGACTTGTATATTCCATAAAAAAACAATGGGACGGAGACAAATAAACAACTCGGTACGTCGTGTTTCCGACCTAGGGTAACCTGTGGTTCAGTAACCTTTTAACCCAGTTTTAATTTGCACACGTGCACCATATAGTCCAGGAGCCAGATGTGCAAACAACTTATTCTTAAATATTTGACCTCTTGAATCCAAAGAAACTTGGTCGCAAAGCCTGAAAGTGGTCAGTTTAATTGTTATCAACAAATTAAATGTTTAAATGGCTGTAAAAAGTTTATTTTTATAGCTAGTACAATTTATTCGCTAATAGTTACGTTTTCTCATAACAAATATGTATTTTTTTGGAAATTAAAAAAAATTAACTTTAACCAAAGTTATTGCAAATTTAGTGCAAATTTCTTACATTTTCCGTCTCCGTGCGCACTAATTTTACCATATCTGGTTCTAAGTTCCATTTATTTATTAATTTATTTAATAATTAATGGCATCTTAGAAAGTTGTGAAATTTCAACGAAAATGCCGGTTTTAATTGTTTATAAGGTTTTTTTTATTATTCAACTTCGACGAAAAGCCAAAAAAGTTACCGGATATTGTTCTTTGCATTCTAACAATCAAGCAAGGCATGAAATCATTGTTAGGATGCGAGGAACAATAACCGGTAACTTTTTTGGCTTTTCATAAAAATTGAATAACAAAAAAAGTTTTATAAACCAATAAAGCCAACATTTTCGTTGAAATTCCACAACTTTCTAAGCTGCCATTAATTTTTAAATAAATTAATTAATCAATGGAACTTACCTATCTTGTAAAATAAAGTTTAAGTTTTAAAATGAGATGTGCGTCTCAATCCGTCCAATTGAACCAGAGATATGGTAAAATTGGTGCGCGCAGAGACGGAAAATGTAATATATTTGCACTAAATTTGCAATAACTTTGGTTAAAGTTAATCTTTTTTTAATTTTCAAAAAAATATATGTTTGTTGTGAGAAAACGTAATAATTAACAGATAAAAAATTGTACTAGCTATAAAAATAAACTTTTTACAGCCATTTAAACATTCAATTTGTTAACAACAATTAAACTGACCACTTTCAGGCTTTGCCACCAAGTTTTTTGGTTTCGAGAAGTCAAAATACTTAAAAATAAGTTATTTGCAGCCGTGGAATTCTGTTTGGCTACGGAAACCTATCTGGCCCCTAGCCCCTAGACTAATACGAGTGTAGTAGCAAAAAGTTGTCGGTCTTTTATCAAAGGAAAATCGTATCAACAAATTTAATTTAAAATCTAAAATACCGGCTGTTTTCGTAGTAGCTGTAGTCGCCCAGGTGCATCGAGTGTACGAAGTGGTCGGTTATATGTCAAATACTAACCTGGCGAGCTTGAACCTGAACTTGGCAACGCTGTTCCTTTAGCCGACAACTGTTCGTGACATTACGTTACAAAATTTTCCGAGCATCCGGGCATCGGCAGGGCAGCCCTCGTAGCGGGAGTTATGGGTTGATTTCCTTCATTTTTAAAAGTCGAGTAAAAAATTTTTTTTTCCGATTTTCTGTCTTTATTAAGCCTTCCGAATACGTGGTTAAAATTAATGACATTATGACTGAATCACCCTGTATTTTAAGACTTTTATTGGTAGGCTGTCGGGCCCCCTTGAAGACTTATTTTTCATTTGTGACCGATGATTTTCAATTTCTTCTACAGTTATATCATGGAAAAAGATTGAGGCCAAACAATGTTTGCGATTTGAACAGAGATTACTCAGGGAGGCAGAGTATATTCCATTTAACGAGTTTTGCGCTACCTTTGAAAAGTAGGTGCAGAAAGTATTACATATTTCAAACTGATCTGTGATTACATTGTTGTCTTTTGTTATTTGAGTTATATTAGTAATATTCCGGGTTCTATCGACGAATCTTTTAGTTTGTTCTGATAAGAAATTTTGTTTTTTTGCCTTGAGAGTTACAGAATAATTTTGTTTTGCTTCCTTATATTCTAATATTGTTGGATCTTTCAAATTTTTTAATAGCCAGTACAAATTTTTTAAGTTTTGACTCTTCTATGATTGTTCCGTCAAGCCATTTATTATTCTTTTCACCATAATATAAATATTAAAAAAACTCTTTGTCACCCTAATAGTAAATAAAAAGAGGACAGTGGTATGAGATTTTAGTTGAACTTGTCTGCCAAATTCATTTTTATTTTATATTTCTTTTAATTTCCAATGATTTCATGCAAAAATAAAGTTTTTTGTCAAATTATTTCATTTTCTGTTAATATCTGAAACCCCATTGTTAAATAATGCAATCATCAAAGAATCCTGTATGCTTGCTGTTCCATATTATCACTTTTGACAAACAGATATTTTTGTATCTACATTTTGTTTGTTTCATCAGGTAGCATCATTTCTCGTATGAAATTAATAAATATTGACAGAAAAAATGTATATACAGTATGTCCGCGGATTATCTTATTCGTTTTTCAAGCAAAAACTTTTATCAATAATGACTTTTTTTCGTAACTTGCAAAATAGGGTATGTTTACTCTTACGCAAAATAAGATTTCCCTCCCTGTACAACAAAATTGAAGTTCATCATGGTGATTCGCATTTTCTAAACAAGCAAAAACTTTCATCATGAATGCCTTTTTTTTATATCTCACTTTTTGGTCCATTTGTCCTCTTGTAAACTCAACCCGCAGACAGACTGTATAAACGTTAAACTTTTAGAAAAACTGAAACTTTGAAAGGACAATGTCAAAAGATTTGAACATGAGTAGATCGATTATAACTGTTTGTCTATCTGAAAAAAAAATTTTGCCCTTTTTATTAGCATATTTTTTATTCTATTTTAAATGTATTAAGCATTTAAATTTTAAAAAATAAATAATCTTATGAAATGAAGTCAAACTATGTTCTTTGATACCAGAAATCTAATTTTTTCTTTTGTGTTTCTAACGATTTTAGCATAGTTAATTATTATCTTGTTAATTATTATCGATGTAGTCTTTTTATCTCTTATAGAACAAATAATGTGATTGCCAATGCTGTAATATATTTTTTTTAAATAATTTTTAAGGGGGATTACATGAAATGTATTAAATCAGCTAAGAGGGCAGCTGCTTTGAAAGCATGTATACTACTTCATAAAATAGGTGAATTAAACGATCACCTTTTACCCAGAAAAAACGAAGTTCCTGAGCAGGATGTCAGTTTTCTCTTCACTCATTACCCTAAAGTTAAGGAAGATAAAGCAGGTACAAGCAGAAATCGACGTTTGCATGAAAAGCAGGTAAGTTTAAAACTAATTTTCATATTTTTTTTACTTATATGTCTTGTTTTTAACAAGTTCTAGTATTAATCAAAATCTTTACTGCTGTATAATCTGCATAATCTCTCTTTATTTATTTTGCCATCTCCAAAAAAATTTAAAAATTAATTTGTTTTTATGATAGTTTTTTTCTTTTGGTGTTTTTTTAAGTTATAGATTTATTTCTAAGTAAAAAAGGTAAGGTACAAATTTTTATTGAAATTCTATTTTTGGCCTATAAAGGCTTCTAAACAATATGTTTTTTTATTCATGTCTATTATTAGTTGAGTTTAACTAAATGTACCAGTTTATTATTATTGAAAAATTAATGATTATCGAACAGTAATAACAATATAAAGAATCAGTAACAAGTAGAAAGAATAAAATTACTAAAACAAAAAAAGAAAGTTCGTACTCAAAATCAGACATTAGACTTCTTTGTGGCTGTTCCTCTAAGGGCCGGTACTTTCAGTCTAGATTAAATACACCGTTAACTAATCGATCTATAAATTAATCCCAGTAAACTAACTCAAATTTAAAGGATATTGGATACTTTACGGTTTTTTCAAACACTAGGTTAGGTAAACTGGGTCTGAATTAGGATAGTAGGAAAGACGTACGTCGTACACAAATTTTAAATTTTATGTTATGATGCATGTCATATGTCATACATTCCTTGTCAAATCTACGATTTTTTAATTACTTTTGCGGTGTGTGTTGAGCTATAAAATGGATAACAAGAAAAAAAGGAGAACAAACTTTACTTAAGGACCCTATTCAGATTGCAAGAAGAAGAACAAAAAATAAAAATAGAAATATTGAAATCCGAACTGAATATGAAACTTAAACAAAGTTTGGGGCTATCTTAATTCTCATTAATAATAAATTATACACAAATCACGTGTTACTTTTGTGATAAGTAAATTATAATATAGTAATGTTAAGGGTTACATCATGTTATTATTAGCCGTTTTAAAACCGAATCTGGTATAAGATTCATATTTAACTTTTGGTAAATAAATTTTTCAAATTGACGTCTTATTTCATAGACAATATGTATAACAGTGATTGGATAACCACAAAGTAATACTTATAAAACAAAAACAGAAACACATATTTATTATACATCTAATGGTTTAATTAACAAGAAAAATAGCAAATATAAATAACTTAAGGTAGTGGAAGCAAGATTGTCCTGACAGTGTTTTTGATAAACCGAAATCTATTAAAAAATTGTTCTTCTGTACACTTTTCAAAATGGTTTATGCGTGTTTTTACTTCATATGTACGCAAATTATTCACGTAGTTTATCATTTCTTCATCGTTATCATCGAATAGCTCCTCCAATTCATTCAAATCCATTATTTTTAAAAACGTCAGTTATGTCAAAAGTATCAAAACCACGTTAATCAGGCGGTAATCGCGGATAGATGCTCCAATTAAATTTAACTACGGACACGCCCACTTTAACTCCTGGTTAATGGTTGACAGTGTTTGAAAGTAACCGAAACGAAGGGTTAAAGTTTAACCGAGGTTTATATTTATCTAATCTAGACTGAAAGTACCGGCCCTAAGCTTGTTTTTAGGGCAGTAAACTAGGGGTTAATTGTGTACCTTAATTAGGTACTCCAAAAATACTTTATGAGCAGGCCTGTCTAGAGGAGAAGAACCCACTTTGTGTAACTCCTCTTCACATGAGTAATGTGTCATTTTGTCACTGATTTCTTGTATTGTTATTATGTGTTGTTTTAAGTTTTTATATTTTAATGATAAAATGGTGTACTTTAATTTAATTGTGTATCACAAATTAACTGCTTAAAATATTTACCCGAATTAACAAGGATAGGAACGTCCTTTGTGAAGGCTGAAGATTTTGGTGGCTCCAATACGAGTCCTACCAATTTTTCACATAGTTGTTCTATGCATATATTAATTAACTGGGGTAATGTGTATATAATACATCACAGGAAATAAATATTTTCTTATTTAAAAAAAATATATGTAACAAAAAAACTAGTTTTCTCATATTTTTCTTAAAAAATATACACATTAAGAGATTAATAACCGAGATAATTATGTGAATAAAAAAATAAAATCTTTAGAAAAGATCTAACTTCAGTTTGACTAAAGTAGAGACTTACTCTGTAGTAGACAGCACACGCTACATAGTATTGAAATTTCAAGGAAAAAAAATCTTGCTCCCTGTATGAGAATCGATATTTCATTAAAATCATGATTATGAAGTGTTTAAGCTCAAAAAACATGACCCTTTAATTTTTTGAAAAGTTTGACTGAAATGAAGAAACAGTTTGCTAGATCGAGATGAAACTTCACAGGGTTCTTCTGGGTATATCGAACTGTAAAAGTCATGCTTAACATTAGTCATTTCGTGAATATTTCTAATTTAACTGTCAATTTTCTAAAAAACCATGAATTACCCTTTTTTTCCTGTTTTTTAAAACTCGTGTAAAAGATGAAAAGAAAAAAAAATTTTCAAAAAAGTTACGGCAGCATGTTATAGGAAATTTATTCCAGTTTTCGAAACTGCCCTTCAATTCTCTGTACGACCATTTCTCGCCGAGATATCGATGATTGAAAACAAAAGGATCCTTTTCCATTAAGAATCCGATATTTCGATGAAAAATGGTCGTATCGAAATTTAATTAAAAAGAAATTGAAGCTGAATAAACAAGCTATCTGGTCCATGCAATGCTGAACAAAATTTTTCCAAGTCCATTGCAAAATTTTTTTGTCGCGCTATTTGTTAGAATTGCATGATAACCGTAGCTCCTAAAAAATTCAACCGAAAGATCTAAAAACTAGAATCTTAGAGCTTCAAAATGCTTATTTTTAATTCCCGATACGATCATTTTTCACCGAAATACAGTCTGTCAAAAATAACGGAAAAAATTTGGAAATTCTTTTGACCCATTAATTGTTTGCATTAGTGTATATAATTAAAAAAAGCTATCATAAAAATCAGATTTGTTATTCATGAAAAATTCAATATTAGGGCCCAATTGTGTTTAAATAAATGTGACTTATACGTATTTAAACATATATCAGATTTGACAAATGAAAATGGATTAATTTTCAGAACTATTTTGCAGAGAAATAGTGATTTATAGTTTGTATTAATTTTAATTTTTCAGAGATTTTGCCAAAGTTAGGCAAAAATAGCTTAAGGAGGTTTATCGGGTATGCCTAAACTAAAGTGATAGTTTCTGTAGATTCGCTAGTGACTAAAGTAGTAAGCCTTTAGATTTGGCAATGTTGCACTTGGCTGGCGCGCTCGATCATTCTGTTTGTTTGGATGCCTAAGCTTGAAATATACATCATATGTCACACCTGCGAATTTCAAATAATACGCTACGTCGAGAACCGCGGCGTTGCCGCTATCACGCATATGGAGGTTAAGTTAGTCAACGACAGCAATTTGCAGGAGAATTATTATAAATTATGTATCTTACAAGTACCTAATCGATTTCTATAACGTTGACATTCTCTGTGAAAGACTGATTCATGTCATTAACAAAGAAAATAAAAAGTAATGGAGATAACACACTCCCTTGTGGGACTCCTAGGTTAATTAGTTCTGGATTTGAAAAATGATCGTTTATTTTTACTACGATTGTTCGCTCTGACAGAAAGGAGTAGATCCAATCGTTTATCGGTTGCCTTATACCCACAATTAATTGACTTTCTTATTAAAAAATCCGAGCTGTCATATGGTTCCTTAGATATTGGAATCCTATTTATACAAGTTCCTGTGGAAACTGTTCGTCAATTGTTGCGCATTCTAAGTGGAAAGACCAAAAAAATCTGCATTTTCATAAGACTTCGTACTAAATCGTGAAAAATTATTTTATTAATATTTCGTCTCTTAGGTATCCAAACTACGAGTAGTCATAATTTTTTTTGAGGATTTTCTTCACATTAAGCTTATATTAATTTTTTTATGAATATTTGTCAATTCCAAATCAGATAAACCTCCTTATTAAAAATAACTCTTGACTGATAATTTTGCCAAAAGGTCAATTTAACTGATTTTAAAATTTTTTTCGTAGTTGCTAAAATATTCAAATAAAGGGACAAGAAAGAAATAATTAATCTGTATTTTAGGTAGCGTCATATATTCAAGGGCAGATACGACCAAACATTCCTCAGTTTCTTCACATAATTCATATAAAACCTCTTTTCACACGACGATCCCAAGATATTAATGAATCTACTATGTACGACATCTACACATCGTCTCTTTGTTTTGGAGTAATCACTCCGAAGCCACTTCCAGTTTTGTGTGATTTTCCGATATACGTCTCTTTGGGAACAATTAATGTAAACCTACAAGTGAATGCGAAACAAGTTACGCTCCACGAGGAAGAAATAGATTCCATCAAAAGGTTTCATCTTCTCATATTTGATGATGTACTTAAAATATTGCAATCATTTCTAATTTTTGATAACACCAAGGAGGCTGAAATGTTATTAGTTGTACCTGTAGATAAAATGACAGAAACGATCAACTTTGACGTTATTAAAACTTACAAAGATGTAAAAAATTTATTGGAATTAACTCGAGAAGAAAAACTAAATTTAGAGGTAACTCAAGAAACATTCTTAAGAACAATCGTTTCACCTTGGTATAGACGAGACCCTGCAACGTACATCGTTACAGAAGTTTCTTTAAACAAATGCGCGCTCTCCGAATTTCCAAATGAAGATTATGGAAGTTTTAAAGACTACTTTTATGAAAAACATAACCAGAAAATATTAAATACTCAGCTACCTTTGCTGTTTGTGAAAGGATTGACCAAGCGGTTGAACTTTATAAAACCAAAAGGTAAGGAAGGAAAACGAAAACGTGACAAAGTGTATGAAGAAATGACTGAATATTTGATACCGGAACTGGTTGTCAAACAAGAATTTCCAGCGTCTCTGTGGATCCTATCTAGTTTTTTGCCGACCATTTTATATAGAATAACTTATATACTACAGTTAGAAGAACTGCGTTGTAAAATTTCTAGAGAAACTGACCTGGGTCAAGAAATCATCAAACAGAGTGCTTTGCAACTGGATGAATACCTCTTGGACTATGTACCAAACATAGAAGATAAGTTACCTGAGAATATAATGATAATAGCTCCACCATTGGATGAAACACTTTTAAATTTGCCATCATCAATGCAGTACAACAAAGACTATGCTGCAAAAGTACTAGAGGCTGAGTATCCGTGGGATGACATCGAAGAGCCCAAAGATATTGAAAGAGATCTTAAAGTAACTCCCATGGATATTGAATATTATGAGAATTTCATATCCCAGCGTATAGATAAGAATAAAGTAAACCAAAATGAAAGTCCCAACAGAAAAAACCATAAGCAGCTGGCTCTAACTTATCATAAAAATTTTGTAGAGCGCCCTATCAAGTTGCTTGACAAACCTTTTACCAAAGATGGACCCGATCTTTCCGAGATGTACAGGGCCTTGACCGCAGCTAAAGCAAATGATATAGTTAACCTAGAACGCCTTGAAACATTAGGTGATTCCTTCTTAAAACTGATATCATCTGTTTATATATCTCTGCGTTTTCCATCTTACGACGAGGGAAAAGCGACCACCCTGAAAGGAAGATTAGTTAGTAATAAGAATTTGTATTATCTAGCTAAAAAGAGAAATCTGAGCGGTATAATGAAATTTAAAGAATTGGCCCCGAAAGAAGAGTGGTTACCACCTGCATTTAAAATACCACAGGAAATGCTGAAAAGAATTCATTCCAACGAACTTTCAGTCAATGCACTATTCAATCTAACAATTCCCATTGAGGAACAAGTTTCTGGTCGTTTGAGTCAAGATACTATTAATCAGATATTAGAAGAGGAATATCCACCCGAGGAAAATGAGAGTTCTTATTCTAATATGGCAACATTTTTGAAATGCCAGTATATTGGAGATAAACACGTCGCCGATGTTGTGGAGTCCCTCTTAGGTGCATATTTTAAACATAATGGATTCATAGGTACGTATTATTAACAGAATTACCTTTGAGATAAGTATATTTGAAGAAATAAACAAGATTTCTTGTAAATATCTATACAGTGTGTAAGATAAATTTATAAGATTTGATATAATGTGATATACAGTGTCCACAGATGGAATTTAATTGAAGGAAAACTATTTTATTTTACATTTTATGAAAAAAAGTAATTTTTGTTAAAAAACCTACTTGTGCTCAAACGTAATGGGACGTTGAATAAGCTCTCGCTGTTTTCCAATAGATGGCATTAACAAAACTGCGAATGTGTAGTTTAAGGTGGTAACACACCTGTAAAGAAGTACTATAAGCAAGCTTGAAATTTAGTATATCTTATTATCAAAAGCAATTAGATTGGATGTCCTACGAGGTGAAGCTGAGAGACATCGAACGATATCTTTGCATGTGTGAACTGCTGCTTCAAAGGTTGTTTGCATCGTATCCTAACTGGCGATGAAAAATGGATATGCTACTACAATTCTAAGTGTAGAAAATCGTGGGCGAAGTCTGGCCATACATCAACGTCGTCGGTAAAGCCGAATCCCACGGTTCCAAACTTCTGCCCTGCATTTGGTGGGATCAGCTAAGTGTAGTTTATTATGAGCTGCTCAAATCAAATGAAACCATCACGAGTGATTGATATTGACTCTAGTTAATGCGTTTAAGCCGAGCATTTAAAAAACCGCTGCTATACAAGCAGAGACATGATAAAGTTATTTTGGAGCACGATGACACTCGCTCACATGTTCAAAACCGGTGAGAACCCACTTGGAAATGGGAAGTTCTACCCCACCCACCATGTTCACCAGACATTACCTCTTCCGATTATCACTTTTTACGATTAATGGCATGTAGCCAGAAGCAACACTTCCATTCTTATGAAGATGTCAAAAATAGTCTCAAAAAAGTAGTGGCTAACAATGGCCAATGCTTTCAGTGACATGTTTTTTAATAATTTTTTTAAATAAAGCATTAATTTTCATGAAAAAACAGCAAGAACTTATTCAACGTCTCATTACAAAAATGTAGTTTTTATTGGGTCAACACATTCTTTATAAAAAAAATTACTGAAATATACAGGGTGCCCTCTTTTTCTTGTTTGTAACTTTGATAAATGATAGAACATGAAAAAAATAACACTAGGTACGTTTTCGTACAACTTAAAAAATAAATTTACTTTATTCTCAACTACAACAATATCTTATGGAATGATACATATTTTTTGTTCAAACTTGGTACACAACAATCATAATGAAAGACTACTATTTTGCAGCATCAGATTTTTATTCAATTTAATATATGCTCGAAATGATATTCGTCTCAATATAACGACAAATTAGAGTGTCATTATTTATTTCATCACAAAATGTTTAAATACAATTCATTCAAAAGATCTCCAAATAAAAAATCTACTGGATTGAGGTTGGGTGATTGAACAGGCCAAACGACTAGATCTTGTTGACCAATCCATCCATTTATTCTATTATTGAGTGATATTTCCTCCTATTTCGTAATGATTAGTTTCCAAAAATTCTAGCATTCTGACTGTCTGGGAAAATGTTAGATCCAAAGATACTATTGTTGTAAGTTCCAACCCACACATTGACACTGAATTCTTCCTGGAAATTTTAAGGGGGGTTTTCATAAGCCCACAAATGTAAATTGTGAGAATAACTCCCTGTCGAGTAAAATGAGCTTCATAGTATTTACTGGAGGAAGTGTTCATTGTTATTCAAAGAATTAACGACTACATAATTCTAATGTTCGTTATCTCGTGGTTGCGAGGTATATTAAGAATACGCTGCTAACTAGTTTCATCAAATAGTCGAACAACACATACCGTTCTATCTTGTACTACAGCGTTATTATTTCTAATTTGTTCTTTCCTACGAGCTGGACTATTTTAGAAAAAAGATAAATTCTACTGAATACTCGGTTTCCATTACAAAATCCATAAACGAAATGAATATTTGTGTATTCTTGGTTAGTAAATCTAAAAGTAATTTTCTAATTTACTTCAACAAACAGATTTGGCATAATATTTATAAGATGTGTTGTTAAAACGGTTAAATTTGAAACACCTACTTAGTCCTATAATTTTTAAGCGAGGTATATGTAATTATTGTAATTCCATTAGCTTTAGGAAGTTCAAGTGAACAGAACGTCATAAGTACCCCACTGCTTTTAGTTTTTCATATCAAGATATTAGTCTTTCATTAAGATTGTTCAGAGTTAAATGCCTTGTATTAAGAAAATGTGGTATTTTAGAGAAAATGTAGGGAAATCCCCTAATATTTTTTCTTACTCTATCCTTAACCAAAGTTATGAATGAAAAGAGGGAAATCCTGTAATAGTTGCTTAATTTTTATAATGCATGAATGCACTATTTCAGTTACAAAACTTATTAAATAGTCGATTCCTTTTCAACATTTAAAAAGTACAGACCGTCTCCAGATCTTCAACTATTGATGATAATGAGGAATTTTAAATTTATTTTAGAGAATGATTCTGTTAAAAAATAATCTGCCACATATTTTATTACTGAAAAATTAATTATACTGTTACGAACAAAAGAAATCTATGTAAATAAAGTCTTTTTTGTATGTAAGACATCAAAAAAAAAATCCTTTTTTTGTGAAAACTAGTAAGCAATGTACCTATTGTCTGAATTGTTAAAAAAACATTTCATTTTAAAAATATATTGAAAATATCAATAAAATCTTTTAACATGTATATCGGGTGTTTCACGTCAACGGGCACAGTGGGCTGCCCAGAATAAAAATGCATCAATATTGACGTTCGACGTGTCAAAAGATTCGTATTTAAAAACTCTATCGAATGCCGTCTGGTGATTTTAAAAAAACATCATGGCGGTTTCAATATGGCGTCCGCAATCATGGAAAATTCTGTTTAATCAGCAATATTGATAGATAAGAAACATAAAAATACTGTATTGTAGACTGAATCACCATATCTATACGTTTTTGGGGTTGCTGATTTCGAATTCAATATTCATTAAACCCCATCTGGTCACTGTTCGTCCCTAACCTTAAAAATACTTCAAATCGTTGAAGTAATGCGTTTCTACGATGAGTAACTCAGTCTAACTACCACAATTTATGTTTTCGGGATCGCTGAAACCAATTCTGATATCAATATAACTTCAACTAGTCAGAGTTCGTGCCTAACCTCAAAAAAGTAGCGCAATTGCTAAGATTACACTTTTTTACATTTTAACTCGTTGTGACCTTGACTGACCTCAAGGTCAAAGTTATGATCACATTCGGATGTAATATTTTCTGCTGAATATTTCCAAGGTTGAAAATATTAGAAATTTAAATTGAATATATTTTCCAAAAAAAAATAAAATCAGATTGAGTATATAACAATATCAATTTAACCATTTATTAGTAACTGCAGATTTTAAATAAAGAATCTTTTGTGCCAAAAGGCACAATCATTCGAGAGATTTCATAATTTATTTGAGCCTAACCAGTAATATCTCGCACTGAGAAAGTGGATAATCGTTCGTGACTTCATTGTGGCATCCCGAGTTAACATCTCGAAATCTTTTATAAATTTCTCTTCTCTAAACTTAAACAGGATGTTAATGCTAGCTCTTTTATGTTTTATGTATTCATCGTCCATAGATATATAAGAAATCATACCATATATGGATATTTTACCACTTACCTTGTTATTGAGGATGTCCAGTTGATCAAAATTTAGAGAACACTCATAGATTCTTTTAGTTTTCTTCTTTCTCTAACATTTTTTTTGTTATTCCGTTGAATAACATGACTACTCTAAGAGAATTAAACGAATCCGCGATTATTTTGTTGAATGGTGATAAATGTTTACCTATTGCTTCCTATTCTTTCTAAATTTTGATAAATGTTGGTTGAACCTCAACCACAAGATAAGTACTAATAAAATAAATATTGCATGGTGATATCTTTGAAGAAGACAGATAAACAAAACAAAAAATTTGACCCATTAATTCTGAGTACATTTTGAAAATGAAAAGTGAAACAATTTTCATTTTCAAAGATCTTAGCAAAAATATCTTGCAACATGTTTATAGAAATAAATAATATTTCTTTATACAAAAAAATAATCATCTAAATACTACTTCTTAGGAGGAATAAAATTTGTTGAATGGATGGGGATAATTCCAGCAACAGAAAATATTGAAAATCTTCTCAAAGCCCCTGCTCCAGATCCAATTATAGATAAGAGGGCATCTTTACATAAAATAAACTTTCACATACCATGTTGGCAGGAGATTGAGGATATATTGGGCTATCAATTTAAAAATAGAGCGTATCTGTTACAAGCTCTGACACATTCCTCATATACACAGAATAGAGTAACACTTTCATATGAAAAACTAGAATTCCTCGGAGACGCCATACTGGATTTTCTGATAACATGCTATATTTATGAATCATGTGGTTCTTTAAACCCGGGCGAACTGACAGATTTGAGATCGGCACTTGTGAATAATAACACCTTCGCTAGTTTAGTTGTCAGATGTGGCTTTCATAAATTTTTATTGATGATGAATTCAAAACTTCAAGGACACATCGATAAGTTTGTGGACTATTTAAAGGTGAAGAATTATCAAATTGATGATGAAGTTCTGATTCTGTTGGAAGAAGGCGAGTTGGTTCTAGCTGAATATGTCGATGTTCCAAAGGTAAGATTATGTACTGATATATAGAGATTGTCTATAAAATATGTGCACACAAGCTAAGAATATTAGTCACATGCTATGATAGACAAAAAAGTTAAATATTTGCTTATAAATGTACTTGTCTTCGTAAAAAAATTACTTATAAAATAGGTGTACAAGCCATTGTACAGAAACATATGAAGCTCAAATATTTCTTTTAAATGAACTTTAAATGCGCATATTTGAAACTTTATCGTACCAGTAACACTATTTGTTATATTGAATTCACTTAATTATCTCTTAATTAACATTGAAAAAAGAGCGCATTGTAATTTTGCACAATTGATTTTTATTTTTTACACAATAATTTTTTAATAATTAAAAAAATCAGGTCAGTACAGAATATGATAATACTAGGGTTGCCTTTTATACCAGGTGTCCAGAAAGGGTGGGGGGTATTTGTATATGTGCTGTCCATGTAACGGCATGGTTGGGAGGGGTGCTTAAGCATGGGCTGTTCTGCTCTTTGGAGATTTAGTAACCATGGAAGCGTACCCGGAAGACCATTGTGGTGAGGGTTGCTTTCGTTGTACAGCAAAAATAAAACGCTCTCTCAACGGTACAAATAAACTATTTTTTATTGAAAATTAAGCTTGTGAAAAAAGACGTGTTGTTGGTTCGAGTGTTTGCTGGAGAGTTCTCCTTGGTGTGGAGTCGCTGGCAGAAGTACCTGGTCCTTGGCGCCAATCTGCCGGGGTTGTCTTCCGGGAACCCTGGTGCGTCCGGGGTGGCATCAAGATGGCGCTATTGACGCAACACTCAAAATGGGTCACTTGTGAACATGTGTACCCACAGTGCTTTTTAGCATACACGCCTATTATCGCAATGGTGATTCCATAGTGACAGCTCAACATTTATATAGTGCGGAATTTAATCTACGGAATGCACCGCAAGATGATACCATCAGAAAATGGATTCGAATGATTGAGAATACCGGTTCGAGTGTAAAAATTCATAATCAAGGTCTGTTCGAACCCAACACACAATTGAAGTGAGAGTTTCAGTGCATCAAAATCCGTCTCTAGGCAAACACAGTCAAGGATTTAACATTAAAAAATCATCGTTGCACAAGATTCTGAAGCAACATTTACATCTTACAGCCTACAAAATTCAGCTCGTTCAAGAACTAAAAGTTACCGACTATCCGCTCCAACTGAATTTTGCAAATGTTATGCTTCAACGCTTCCTAACGTTTGAAAACATTGTTTTGTGACGAAGCAAACTTTCACTTAAACGGGCACGTAAACAAACAGAACTGCCGCTACTGGGCCAACGAAAATCTAAGAGAGAAACATAAACGACCACTACATAGTCCAAAATTTATTGTCTGGGCTGCCATGTCTGGTGAAGGCATCATTGGGCCTTATTTTTTTGTAAACTGGCGAGGGAGAGCACTTACGGTAAACAGTGAACGGTATTGCAACATGTTAAGGAACTTTTTCGCTCCACAACTGCAGGAATTTGAAGGTTTTAATGTGGAAACATGGTTTCAACAAGATGGGGCCACTTGCCACCTCCAACCAATCGCTTAACTGGCCTCCAAGAAGCAACGATCTTACACCCCTAGATTATTTCTTATGGAGATGCCTTAAACAGAAAGTGTATGCAAATATACCACGAACTCTACTGCAATTGAAGCACAACATTCGCACCGAAATGGCCGCTCTTTCCAGAGAGATGTGTACACACGTGGCGTCTAATTTCCGTTTTCGATTAGAGGAGTGCCAGCAGCGTGAGGGTCAAAATTTGGACAACATAATCTTTGCCACTTAATTTTCCAAAACTTTCTCTACAAATTAATCCAAAAATAGAAAAATTAAGACTGAATTTGAATTTACAAATACCCCCTACCCTTTCTGGACACCTTGTATTTCTGGAATAGAGTACAGCTGTAATAAAACTGATATTTGACATCAAAGGGAATCTTCCTTTACAGATCCCATCAAAGATTTTGACAATTGTAGGAGTACAGCATACATGAAAATTTGCATGATTTAAATATTTTATTTCTTTTATTGGAATGGCCAGACAATTTTTTTCACAATTATTTATCTCTAATTGGAAAAATTGGAGTAAAATAATTCACTTAAATCCTTTACAGTCTCTTGCTGATGAGCTTTTTGAAATTTGAAGTCTATCTTGAGTACTTAATAAAAAATTGAATTCACATCCAATCTTTAAAAGACGAATCATCTTAAAAGTGAATGGATTTAACCTTTTTATTACAGATTCTTGGCGATATATTTGAAGCCCTAGCAGGAGCTGTCTATCTTGACAGTGGCAAAGATTTGAAGGTAGTCTGGAAAGTTTTCTACAAAATAATGTGGAAGGAAATCGATCTTTTCAGTAAAAATGTACCGAAGAATGTTGTGAGGCGATTATTTGAATGGCCTGGGACCTATCCAAAATTTGGGTAAGATATTTAGACATTCTGAACTACAATTGAGTTATAGATATTTAATATAAACAGAGTTAGAACTATTCAATAGTACAGGGTACATAACAAACTACTTGAAGCACTGGATAAATTAAAAAAATTGCATATTTTTCAGAAACTACTTGAAATTTGATATGAAATATTTCAACTAGTTCTTGAAATATAGATAAAAAAACTTGAAAAGACATTATTTATTTCTAGGCAAAACATCTTATTGAATACAATCATTACAGGAACTTACCATATTTGTAATTTTTTTATTAATTTAATTGTTTGAAAAACTAATGTGTATAAAACTATAAAACAAATCGACTGTCAGTCTAATTGTGAATTGCAACAAAGCAATTTCATAAACCTCAAATAAAAAATTACATTTAAACCCTGTGGTTGTTGAGTATAAAATTTCATAAAAGTGCGACATCTTAAAATTAAATAAAAAAAAAACTCTATTTCAAATATTTCACAATTTCCCTGTGATCCCCGTTAAATAGTTCTAATAATAAACCCCATTCTAAATGTGTAGAATTAATTACTTTCATATTTTCTATTTTTCTGTCATATCCAATTTTTATTAGCAATAAATATTTTGTTTTAGAAATATTATTGCCACAGAAAATAAAAAATGTATAATTCCTTTGGAATTTATGCTTAGCGGGAGGCAGAAACTTGTTCATGGCTGTGGTACCAATAAAACTATGGCTAAAAAAGCTGCTGCAAAACTAGCTTTAAGATTTTTAGAAAAGTAAAATGTATTGAATAAGAAAGCATTATATGTACAGAGTGTCCTAGATAGAATAAGATGAATTACAAATTGATCTTTGTCTAAAATGCGTTCTTTAAAAGGTACAGAACATTAAAATAGTATTTTGAAAATCATTTTTTCTAATATGTTCCATGATTTACGAGGTATTATCTTCTAATTTGACATGGATGTTATTTATGCCATTACAATTGTTGAGTATAATTGAAAAAACAAATGAAAAATTGGGTTGTCGTGACCCCTTATCTTCCTAATTTACGATTCTTCGGGTACCTACGCAGTTTCTTTGACGATGTTTTATCTGCCTTATAAATCTCTCATTTATGGTATGTATTTATTGCATAATTTTCTAGTTATATATCACTTTTTAAAGGAAGTATGTCCATCTAATAAATATTCTATTATATCCTGTTTTATTGATACATGCAAACTTTTTTTGTTATAGAACATCTTGTTTCCAAAGACATCTTGTGAGTGGTTGCACTTCACCTAAAAAAAACTTGTCTTTCTGATTTTTCCTCCACCCAAAACTTTTTTTATGTATTCTTCACATAATAAAACATTGTTTAGGACCATTTATCGTAAAATTGATTTTTTCAAAATTCTAGACTTAACAATAAATGAAAATTCGAAAAAAATTCAATGGGCATATCTATGAAAAGGGGGAGGATAAGGGGTCATGACAATTCTGTTTTTCATCTCTTTTTCAAACTGAATGAATTTCCAAAAAATCTACAATTACAATGGTATAAATAACATGCCTGTCAAAGTTAATATCTCGAAAATCATCAAAGATATTGAGGAAAAACAAATTTGAAAATTTTGAAGAAGTATGTTTACCTAAATCATTATATTTTGTTTAGAGTCTGTGATCTTTTCTGGGACACCCTTTATATGTATCAGGTTATTGATTATTAATAACATTCCATCCACTTTATTATTAAGATTGGGGAAAAACTGCTAAATATGAAAATTGTAACTATCAACTAGATAATTTCTATTATTGAATTTTGTATAGTGTTCTTCAAAAGTTTAACAAAATAATCTTAATTTTTTTAACGGAGCATGCTGTGTATATTATATTGTATTAGAATAAAATTATATATACCTAATCAGCGATACTTGTACCATATGATTGGCTTTCTATATTGATATTTTTTTCATCGTTTTCTTTTCGGCTTGAAACTCAATCTAACCTCTAACCACGTTGAAAAAACTCGTGCTCCCAATTTCTCCCTCACCTAAAACTTTTTTCCTTTATTCTTCACCTAATAAAATATTGTTTAAACCATTTATCTAAAAATTGGTTTTTCAAAATCCTAAAGTGGCTTTGCTCCTTAAGCACATTCTGCAGAAAATTTAATATAAAAAAAACTTGATAGCTACTATGAACTTTTCCACTTAGAATTTTTTTCTAAACTTAAAAATAAAAATGTTATTGTTGAGTGACATTTATAATGAATAACCTGGTGCATTAAGATTAAGAATTAAATATATTTATAGAAATTTTTTATTTCAAGTTTAAAGTTAATAAAATTAAGTGTTTTTTAAAAGCATTTGTTTTTATTGTATTTTCCTTCAACCACAAAGAAAATGCAAATGTTCATTTCTTAAAAATATACATTTTTTACTGTTGTAGGTGAAACGATTAGTTAATTTAAATCTTTAACTTGTTTTTCTTATTTAAATTTTAAATTTTGTTTTACATATTATGATGTCAATATGTGAAAAATGTAAAAAATCGTTAAATGTGTATCGGTACATTGATGGAGTGACATAACTGTTATCTTTTTCTGCACTGAATTTGTAGGTAGGATTCTATAAATCCAGTGATTCCATGTGGTTTAATAAAGGTCACTATTCTCTATAATAAAGAAACTATCCTATCTATCTTCACCTGTTTTGAAAACAAAGTTCTGCAAACAAAAAATGCGCAGACAACTTCCAAGATTTCTTGCGAGGTCCTGCAGATGTTGCTATTGCCGCCAGAATCGTCACAAAGGCATCCACGACGATGCATACAAGTGCGCGATCCAGCAAAAAGACACCAAGGAAATTCACTGGTTTTGAAAAATGTCACCAATGTTTCATAAGACAAAGCCGAATAAAACGATTGCCACCAAGAGTGCTCCGTTTCTTCAGACGATGACTCCCCAAGGCCGCTGAGACAGCTGTATTCACTGAGGACGTTTTTCCATTTCCAAAAATTTTGGAACTAAATCGGAACATATATCAGGCCACTTGAATCCACCCAGTCTGTGTGTGAAGAGCAACCCAGGTTTCCTGCAGTTATTTAACCAGAACATACTTACTGGCCAGAGCGAGTACTCCACCGACACTTAAGAATTCGTATTCCAACCACCGCACTACTTGCACTGTATTACCTTTAAGAAAATCAATAAAGCTCAGGAATTTGAACATGCATTTCAAGTTATAATTATTATCCAAAAAATTACCAACTCGAGCTCAACGCTCACATACACAGCTTAGATGCTGCAATATTTACAAACTCTTGAAGCTTAACGTACTGACCCTCTAAGGCAGCGGTCAGCAACTGGCGGACCGCGGAATGTAAAATACTGGACTGGCAAAAAATTTTTGAAAGTATAAATTAAGTACTCAAATTATTTAAAAAATTTTTTTTTTACATTTGAGTGTCACCCTTATCTTTTTTTCTAATATTTTATAATTGTGTAACTGATTTCAGTTCTTAATGGTTAGTAAGCAGATTAAATTTGAGTGCAAATTAAAATTAAAAAATTAGTAAGAAATATGAACTTTTTTTCTGGACCTCGTTAAAAATTTTCAAAAGTATCTTAACCCCACCTAAAATTACTTGCCGACCCCTGCTCTAAGGAAGTCATACACTATAGTGCTTATAACCGGGGCAGACAGTGATTTTCAAAGGGAAATGCTAGAGATAGTTGGGAACCTCTCATCGGCGAGTAGTCGATTAACGTCCCAGCACCGCAGGTCAAAACGGACCCAGACAGAACCACTATGAGGATTTATCACCCTCTAAATATGCAAGGGGAGATGATGGTAGGTCAACTCCACCGCAAGTTAATCACACCGAATAAAATAAGTGTTATGACCTGAACGTGAGGCTATTCCATTGTGTAAAACTTTTAAAAAAATAATTTCACTGAAGATGCTGACAGTGAAAAGCGGTGAAAAGTTTGAAAGCATTGGGTACAATCACTTACAGAGACCACTACGGGACGTCTGAGCAGACAATTGTTTGAGGAGTGGTTCCATCCGTAGGGTCTCTAGAATCAACAAGAACCAAAATGAACATCAGGGTGTTCTGATAGGGGATCCATCTCCACAGAACCTAGCCCGAGAACAACAAGGGCATCTGTTGCCTGATATTGTAAAATCGTACTCTGTGAAAATTTTAATTTTCAGTAGGTTGGTACATTCTGTAACAGGCAAGCTCGATTATAATTTGGTTAAAAAATAACAGTTTAAGAATGACCATCAAGTACAAATAAAACAAATAAAAAATGATATAATATTGCGGATTACTGAAAACTAACATGTGTACCTTTGGTTGAATACCACTTTAATAGATGTCGTACAACACAAAAGAGGCATCTAAGGGAAAATCCGCAAAGAACATTAATGGATGTACACACTAAATTGCTAAAAAAATGTTTGAGGACCAAATGTTAAAAGCTTCATATTTATATATGTATACAGGGTGTTCTAATTAAAACCTTCCACCTGGAAAATATTGAGAAAAAAACAAAAAACCTGAAACGTCAATTTTCTTTTCAAAGAAGATAAGTTTTTGTCTTGTTTTATTGTAATGAGTGGTGGTAATAGTTTAAATAACTAAATGGATTTAACGGGGTCTAACGACACATATAGTGTACGATAATTCAATAAACAAAGAAATCTAAATAAAAAATTTAAATAAATTTGAAACGAATATACTGAAGATGAATTTTTTGAGACAAAACGAGAGTATTGGGGGTCATGAAGGTTTGCAAAAAATGTAATAAAATTTCCAGGGTCGTATTTAAAAAAAAATTAAGATGATGGTCTTGGAAAGACGAAATTTTACGTATAAAAATTGATTATGCCATTCGATAGAGGGCAAACAGTGGCTATGAGAAAGTGTTCTTCTTTTTTCAATATCACCTCAAACAAGGCTGAATTGAAACAAAAACGGATTTCCAAGATTTCGGTTTTTTTCAAATATTTTGAAAACTAATGTTAGCCTTGATTTTTTAGAGGCATAATGTTGGTCCCCTGATTATGCAACTTTGCCCCCATTTAAGCTACTTCGTACTTCTTAGCGTTTCCGAGATCCCTGTAGTGAGACACGAATTTGTAACAGCCTGTATGTATATATATAAAAACTGTCATGTTACATTTACCGACAATCTAAACAATAAAAACCATTTGCTTTGTATTTTTTCAAGAAATAGTTCTCACAATTTAAAGGTAAAGTAAGGTTATAAAATAAAAATTTTTTTATTTATAGAAAATTAGTATTAATGTAAAATATTAATATAATTACATTTACCCATAAATACATTATTCTTACATAACGAGGAAAATTATTGTGTCTTTCTCTTTTTCAGTGATGGTTTATCGAAAACTGGTTTTATACCACCTGCTTGTTGAGAGTGGAATTTTAAATTCTGTGCATTTTCTGTTGACCACGGTGAATCAAACTGTGTGGTATCTTGATCCACCAAATGGGTATATTTTGTTCTACCTGATCTACCAAAGTTTTTCACTTGCATAACTTTGGGAAGAATAGTTTTATCAAAATGATCTTCCAACGTAGCTTGTGCAAAATCTCTTTTATAGACGTCATCTTCTCTATCAAGATAAAATGCTCCCCTATGGTAATATTTCTGTAAAAACTTGTATTTTCCCTTGACTGCTTTATTTGTGACAAGTTTAGGATTTAGTCTTTGCTGTACTCTTCTATCTTCCTCCGTCATATTTCTTAATCTTTCTATTTCCATTTTTTCTTTTTCCAATGCTTCTCTTTCTTCTCTGTCTCTTTTAATTCTTTTTAGTTCCCTTAGTTTCCAGGCTTCATATTCGACTTCATCATTTTCATCATCTGTACATACATCGTTAATGTTTGGTTCATTATTTTCTTTATCTTTTGCCTGCTGTTCTTTTCTGATAGTTTCTTCTACCAATCGTAATGTTTGCCTTCGTCTTTCTTCTGCTTGTCGCTGAGTTTCCTCCTCAAGTTTTTTCTGTTTCTGTGCTTCTTTTTCTTTCTCAATAATTGTTATCCTATCCCTTTTCCTAACAAATATAGGTTTTAATCTAGGGCCTGTGAAAAATAAAAAACAAATTTAAGTTCTTTGTCAATCTCACGTATTGTCGAATTTTATGGATATTCAAGGTGTTACGTTACAATGTGTCAAATGGGGGTATTAATATTGTTGATTTAAATGTATTGAATTGCAAGATGACTACAATTAATAATAAAATAAAATTCTCAAGTATTTTTTTGCTCTTTACCAGGTCAAGAACTTGTCAAACGACTTCGGTATAATTTACATTGCCAAAATGATAAAAAAATAAGTTGTCCCATAATTTTGAAAGATATAACCAAAATACCTCATTAGTTAGCTGAAACATAATTTGTTTTTCATTAAGTTTGCTCATGTATTATGTACACAAAATTTCATGTCAATATCTCCATTTATTTTGAAGATCTCAAGACCTCAAAACCATGTCTCAAAAATAAAGGTTTCAAAGGTAAATTTGTCACTTTTGCCACATTTCAGTGTTACACCCTGTAATTTGTTAATGATTTCAATAATACACTTAAAGCTTTGCATGTTAAGAGGGTGAAAGATACAATACTTTGAACTTGAAAAACTATAAATCAGAATATATAAAATTTTGTTGCATTTATAAAAGTTAGATCACAAATATTAGGTATAAATGTATCATACAGAGCAGAAATAGGAATAGGATATTCAATTATCTCAATTAACCTTAAATGAATAGTGTTCAGAATTATTATAGCTGAGATCTTAAACAAAATGAAACCAACAAATAATCGCAATTAACAGAAGATATTTACCCGTTTCTTCTTCAGAATCTGTGTATTCCTCATATTCTGAGGATTCTTCAGAATCAGTTTCCAATTTTTCTTCCTCTTTCACCATAAATTCTTCTTCTTGTTTATTTAGCATTCGCTGTTTTAAAAGGTCTCTTTTTTTTTCTATTTCATTGTCACTAAGTTCTGCTTCAGACTCATCATCATCTGGAGCAGCTTCAAGTGTATGTTTGTACTCTATAAGAAGAAAAAATGTATAATTAGCAATATTAATTAATGATATAAGACGAGGTACCTGATAAATGAATTTCTTCCGTTTCCTCGTCTTCTGAAGATTCTAATACCTCAGGTTCTAAAATATGTCTTCGCCTTTCAGGTCTCACTTCTGTATCAGTTTCTGCAATCTTTAATCTTCTTAAACGTGGATCATTGAGTTCATCATCGCTTTTATGCGGTTCAGGTGAAGGAGCAGGAGGATTCTGATTTCTTCGCTCCAAAAAGTCATCCTCATCACTATCACTGTCTGAACGCGCATCTTGAGCATAATCTGGTCTCTTTCCTGATACGTATCTATGTACTTTTACTTTTTGCATAGATATTTCGCCTAAAATATAAAATATTAACTTCGTTCACTATTTCATATTAGTACATATTACCTTTTTCATTTCTCACAGGCACAGCACCTGCTGTGCTCTGTATTGCATAAGTAGATTGCGGATTCATCATCTCGATCTCGATATTTTTCTTTACAGGGAATTAATTATGAAGTTTATTGACAATAAACAAAATATTTCATCAAATAAAGACGACAACTGTCAGTTTCTTCATAACCTAATAAATTCAGGAATGCCAACATTACTCAAATAAGTAAACGAATTATGAGCTGCTTTCGATTTGTATCCGATGGTTAGTCCTACTCATATATGTAATATTACATATATGGTTCTACTGGATTTTTATATTTAATTTTTTTTTGTTTAAAAGGCCACAATGTTCATTAAAAACATGCGTGGTACAGCTGACAAATGTAACTTTGCGATTTACTGTAGCGTATTACAGTCCTAAATGCGTCAAATGTAAAATTTGATTGATTTTATATTAAAAAAGGTGTCCCGTTCAAATAAACTTTCAAAGTTTTTTTTAAAATTAGTACCAGCAACAAACCAAACAAAAAATGCGAATTAAAAAAGATATTGCCGAATACAAAATTATCAATAAATATATGTATTTTAGTAATTTTGTTATTTGGATAGTTTTTTTAATATGCTGTACCTAATTATTGATTTTGATTCTATAAGTGTAGTTTTACTCATATAATTAAAACATCTACACATTTTTTATGGAGTTGAAAATTTATGTCTTCTAGACTTAATTATTTTTATAGTCATTGTAGGTCACAAACTCGTCTACCATTTTTGCCATCTTCATTAGAGTAATTGGAAACATAGGTTCAATAATAATTGTTTAATATTTTTAGCTTAATCTTACTTTTGAGAAATGTAGCCGCAACCGCTATTGCCGCTATAGGTTCTCAAAAATGGTCTCTTTACGGACAGCTTAGAGCATATTGCTCTAAAACGGACCGTGACACATAAATGCAGTTTAAATAAGTTTTTTTCAGTGTTGCCAACGTCAGGAATAATTTACCACTGGAGATGTTCTGTGCACCAGAAACATCACACTGCAGGTTGGTATTTGACACCTGTTGAATTTGGATTTAGTTAAACAGTTAAACGCAAGCGTGTGAGAAGAAGCGGTGAAAAGTATAGTTTGTAATTTTACGTGTTTTCTAGTTAAATAAACATATAGTAGTGTATATTAGATACTATCAACGTTTATGTGTATATTCTAGTGTATTTATTATTGGATTATAAAGCGCCAGTGCGAATTTTATAAAAGGTAAGAGGAAATTATGTTAATGTCTGAAGAATGGTCATGATAGGTGCCTAGATTGATGGACAGTTGCAGCATCTTGAAGTTTCTACGTACCTTTAATATTTTTAAGCTAAAGTATTAAATACATTTTTTGAGATACTTGGTTAGATGATATTTTGCGTGGTAATTTCTTTTACTAAATTTGAAATCGCGTGCTATTAAATACCTATAAGTTAATGTTATTAAAACTGTTTGTTGTTAAAACAATGTGTTAAGGTATATAGGCGCGGCAAATACTTGTCTCTTGAAACTAAAGAGGTAGGTAGGGCTTGCTGTTTGTCTATTTAATGAATAATGTGTTATACGAAAACTACACATTAAAGTAGCTATGGTTCACAAGACCTCTTCACATTAAAACGTATATTTTGAAATCTTTGGATTATATTACTTAATATTCATAGAAATTCGTAAATAATAATCAGCTAATTCCAGAGAAAAAAAAATAACTGATAGTTGTATAAGTAAATGTTTTTTAAACATTTTATATATTTCGTATAGGTACATTAATTTATATTTAAATTTATATTTTTGTGTTCCTTCATATCAAACTTCATACCTACTTATTTATTTAGAAGAAAGTCGTAAAAATTTTCAGCAAAATAATTAAATACAACCACGTATAGTGGCACGTATGATTTCCAATTTTTGCGTTCAGGAAAATAAATATTTTTTTATTATTTATAAATCGTATTTTTAAAAAACTAGAGAACGTGTTACATCTTTACATCATATGCAACAGATTACCATATTTGTTAAGTAGGTTAATAGGTGCTGCACTAGTCATCTACCAAGGAAAATGCAGCTATTATAATAAAAAGAAACGCTATAGTACTATAGTATTTTTTAATACCTCATTTTTTAGTTTTTGATATAGTATACAAATCCCTTATGCTTATGATACAGATTTTTTTATTTTTTGTGTTTGTACTTCATATTTTTATAAGCTTTTATTTAACTTCAATGTTTATTTGTTTGTTTGTATGTATGTTTAGTTCAAATCTTGCAGGCCAAATTTGAACCATTTCCTCTAAACTTTACGACTTTTTTCTTGCTTGTTCAGTTCTGATGACAATACAATGAAATTATAGAAATAATCTGATGCTGCAGCCAGGATTGAAGAACTCCTCAACGGGTAGTAGCACGGACAAGAAACTTTGCATATACATTTAATTTTGATAGCTAAACATGATCTTCACTATGAACTGATCTCGGAACAGATGCTGCAGCCAGAGGATTGTCGCCTCATGAGAGCACTCCTCAAATTGAAATAGATACATTGAGAAATATTTCTACCTAAAAAGGTGTAAATAAATGAAAAGTAAAAAAAAAATATTTTAAAACCAAGCTTCTATTAAAATGCACTAAAAAGAAAAAACCTAGGAGTTCATAAAACCCATAATGTTGTGTAAACACCAAACCCACAAAAGGGTTGAATATAGTTGTTCTATAGAAGTGCCATCAGCAAAGGTATTGATAAATAGACTCGTAAGTACTATCACTATCTATAATCAGTCTTTTCATGTTCTTATGCGATGTAAAAGCTTGTCGGGTAATTTCCTTAACTTACCCCTTGAAATAAAAATTCCAATTGGTATTAAACCTTTCCACGCATTAGCGAATGAAAATGTCGCTCCGAATTGAAATTTGTTTGATTTGTGAGTAATTTTTAGTCAGAAACAGTCAAACAAATTTGATTTCAGAACTACACGTTGATTCAATAAGTGATTTGTTGCTAATATCTTGTATCTGTACTACTATTCATTTCAAAATGTGTAATGTGCATGTACAATGAAGGGCAACTTAAAGTCCCCACTAGTTGGGTCGCTCTCATTCTATCGCGCCCCACCACAAATAATTACGGAATGTTTCGGACTGGGAGTGCGGTATGGAGATATACTACACCGTGGCACCAAAAACTCTGATATATTCGATAGGGTAAATAATTAATCTGATACCAGTTGCATTTGATATTTTTTAAAATATTATTTTATTAATGATATGTAATGTATTGTAACATTTCTTGGTTAGTTAAATAATTATATTGAAGATTTTTTTAAAAATAAAATGTTATAAACCGTTTACTATTTTAACCATTGTTCACTACATCCACATACCTGCATATTTAGTGTTTTCCTGTATTAGAGATATTCATTTATAAATGTTGTCTTAAATCAATACATACAGGGTGGACTAATAGTGATTATATTACTCCCATGTCATATAGATAGAAAATACATATTTTATTAGGGCATCGAGCGGTGCCTTAAAGAGGACATTTTAAAAATATTATGAAGTATACGGAGCGTTTTGGAAAGATGTATCAAACATGATTTATAAATAGGATGACCCGTTTTTTATATTTCATATATACAAAATATTTCAGACAAAATAACTAATGTTTTCAAAAATGAATAAAATATATAAATTGCAAATGAAAATGTAAAATTAATAAATAATATTATACACTATAAACGTAAAAGATAAAGATAATTTTCTTAATTTTTTTTCTTGTAATAATAATTAATTGTTGATTACTGTATGTAGACCAAATATCTCAACATCTTAATTCAATTATCATATATCTCTATCACATACTATACTAATCAATCAGTATGATTTATGAATGAATTACGTATGGCAATTTTTAAATACTTACCTCCACCCTAGGAAAAGTCGCTAAGAATATGGCGAATCCTTCGAGCAGATACTACTGGAGGCATGCCATTGCGAAAATTGTGGCTGAGTGTGCGAGAGAGACAAAAAGTACCTCAGTACAAGCGGTCTCACTCTAGCACGCCGCGATTGGTTGGAAATGAATGCTCCAACCAATCGCGGCGTGCTAGAGTGAGACAGCGTGTCTGAGATACTGTCTGTCTCTCAGCCACACTTTTCGCAATGGCATGCTACTTCCAGTAGTATAGTAACCTGTTCATTGTCGTGATTTTAATTTAATACTTTTAATTATTATACATTAATGTCTGATTCATTATTGTAATAAAGAGATTGTTAAATATGTAGTAGTGTTACACGTAAACTAACTTTTTGTTATTAAGAGAAGTTACATTTTTTGGTTAAATACAGGTTTAGTTATTTGAATTCCAGCAGAAATAATTTAGATTATATATCGGTCTGAATTTTATAAATTTTGTTCAAAAACTTACGAAAGCGTATTTATTTTCTAAACATATTTTAAAATGTAAGTCTACTATAATTTTTATTTTAATATTATTAACTATTTATTGGGTATAGTATTACTTATAAATAAATAATCACTAATAAAATACTCAAGAACAAGATAACTAAACTAAACAACTACTCGACATCATAAAATAAGGTTTTTAATATATAAAGCTGGGTAAATTGTTTATTGTTGCTGATATTAACAAAAATAGACATGCATTGCACCGATCAGGAAAAGGCTAGAATAATTGATGCTCTTTGACAGCAGGGAGATTCAGTTCGTAACATGAAATCACCTACGTCTCTTTGTTCCCGACACGGCTTTTCTTATAACGTTAATTGTTAATTTACTGTTTGACGTATACGGACCGGGATTTTAGAGACCATAATTAAACAAAGGGTTAAACTTTTATTTTCAGAAATTTTACATTGATAGTTCATGTAAGTAATAAACGCGCTAGCAGAGTAAAATATAACATTAATGAACAGTCTGCACGTGGCAGCGCTAGGCCCGCGCATGCGCGTGAACATCGTTCTCTTAGCGTGCTTGATTTTTAACTTGAACGTTTCAAATTCGGTTAAAAAATCTTGCGCGCGACGAAGGTGGCGTTCACGTGCGTGCACGGACCAGGCGCTCCTTCTCCCGCGTACTTTAACTTTACTGCTGCTAGCGCGTTTGTTACATGAACTATTAATGTAAAACTTTCTGAAAATAAAAGTTTTATCCTTTCTTTAATTGTCTCTAAAATCCCGATCCGATACGTCCAATAGTTTAACAGTTACATAAAAAAATAAAGCTATCTTGAGAACAAAGAGGCGTAGGTGATTTTTCTTTTTTTTTAAATTACCATAAAAATAAGCTCTATTTAACGCAAAAAGAACGAATTCCAGAGCGACCTTTGCCTAACCCTGGGGTCAATTTGATTATACCGCTGTTTTTCACATCCTACTTTGTTAGTTATAAAAGGCAACTTAATGACAATTTTTTGAAATTTTTCTTTTTCGATACGTTTCTTTTGATCAAATAGAACCTATATCTACGATATTAACTTCTTAAAATTAACGTTTAATTAAACAATTAATTGCAAAAAAAAACGAACGAAGTTAATTAACAAATACCTGGAGCAACAATTTCATTCACGGTCAATCGAATTGGCCCTAGGCACATATGTTGATCTTTGGATTGACCGCCTTTTCCATAAATTTTATCAACATCCATCTATTTTTGCAATAATAATGCTTAATTTTCGAAAACTTATTTTTCCGCGTTCGGCTTTTTTTACAGTTAACAAATTAGTGAAATATGGTTTTAGATACCTTAACTAAATTATAGGTAATTTAATTGCCTAAATGCCGCCAACATAGAATAACTATTTTTCCGATATGTCGTCTAGATTTTCATGGGTAGTAAAAAAAGTGAAAAAACACGTAATTTTGCAACTTATTTACTTATTTGTAATTTGTCAACTTAACGTCACTTCTTTCGAGTTACTTTTTTGATATTATCATACCCTTGTCCTCCATAAAATGCAATAAATAAATACCTACTAATATTTTTTAGTAAATATTCAGGTTTTGTGATATAATTCCACTGGAGGAAAGAGTAATTATTTAAGCCTTTTCCTGATCGGTACAATATATGTCTGTTTTGTGTTAATAACAGCAACAACAAACAATTTAAATTATAAAAAAAAACTCAATCTTGACAGAAACACGCGTAATAGACAAATACGTAGGTATTGCCTAATGGCTAATAAATGGTAATGGTAGTAGCATTTAGACCG